CCTGGGACCTCTGCTACCTCTTCTTTTCCAACAGATTACATGAAATAACGTCAATATAGCTCCTCATACTTTGTGCTAAATAAGTCACATTTTTCTTCTTCCTTCTGCACCCTTTGACATCTTTAAGTGAGCTCTTAGGTTAAACTTATCAGGAGGCAGGGGCTGGGCCAGTGGCATAGTGGTTAAGTTCACGTGCTCCGCTTCGGCGGCTGAGGGTTCGTGAGTTCGGATCCTGGGTGTGGACCTATACACCACTCATCAAGCTATGTTGTGCTGGTGTCCCACATACAAAATAAAGGAAGATTGGTATAGAGGTTAGCTCAGGGACAATCTTCCTCACCAAAAAAAAAAAAAAAAAAAATTATCGGGGGCAGAAGAAGCTCAGATGGGGTAGGGCAGTGGCAAGAGTGAAGATCTCGCCACTCAACTCTAGGCTGTTGAGCCTTTGGGCCTTTTAACCTCTAGCTGGGGGAGCCTCCTTATTTTCTTCCTCTGCCCCTCCTCCTGTGTCCTCAGGATTCTTCCTTCAGTCACTGCCAACTAGCTTTCCTTGCACAGAGAAGAGGATTCACCCCAGATCCCACAAATGGTTCAGCATGCAGCTGGGCTCCTTCAGAGGAGGGACAGCTTACACCCCCTCCCTCTTGGAAGCTGCCAGCTATGTAAGAAGTCTGTCTGCCCTGAAACGACCATGCTGTAAGGCAGCCCAAGCTGGCCACGTGGGGAAAGAAGGCCATGCTGAGGAGCACCCAGGTGCCACGCATGGGAGTGAAGCCTTCTTGGACTTTCCAGCCCAGCCCAACCCAGTTGCCAGCTGAATGCATTAGAATGAACACCCTCAGTTGACACCATCTGGAACAGAGGAAACTTCCAGATGAATCCAATCAACCCACAAAATTGTGAGAAGTAGTAATACATTTTTGTTGTGTTGTTATTAAGCTCTGAGATGGTTTGTTACATAATAGATAAATGAAACTCTCTCTTTCTCTACAATATATATAATATGTGTTATATATAACGCTTATTTTTATTATTATTTCTGAACCATTTAAGAGGAAGGGGCAGAAATCATGACCCTAAATACTTTGGTGTGTATCTCTAATGAACCAAACATCATCTTACAAAACATACAGCTATCAAACTCAGGAAATTTAACATTGACCCAATATTATTATTCATCAGTCCCTATTGGTGTTTTGCCAGCTGTCTAAATAATGTCTCTCAGAGTAATTTTTTTTTGGTTCTGGGATCCAGTTCAGGATGACACATTGCATTTAGTGGTTGTATTAGTTATATACAGCTGCATAACAAGTTACCCCAAAATTTCATGGCTGAAAACAACAACTGTTATCATCTCACAGTGTCTGTGGCTCAGGAATCTGGATGCAGCTCAGCTGGGCTCTTTGGCTCAGTGTCGCCTGAGGCTGCAATCCAGGTGTCCCAGGGCTACAATGATCTCAAGGTTCACCAGGTGGGATCCCTTCCAGGCTCATTCAGCGATGTTGGCAGAATGCAGGTCATTGCAGCCTGTTGGCCTGAGGGCCTTGGTTCCTGGCTGGCTGTTGGCCAGAGGCCTCCCTCAGTTCCTTGAAACATAGACCTCTCCACAGGACAGCTCACGAGGTGGCAACTCTCTTCGTCAGAGCAAGCGAGCTGAGAAGAGCCAGAGAGAATGCTAGCAAGACGGAAGGAAGTCACGGAAGTCAGGGTCTTGTGTAACCTAAACTGCAGGCCTTTGTAATCTCAGAAGTGACACTCCATCACCTTTGCTGTAATCTGTTCATTACAAGCAAGGCACAGGTCCAGGCACACTCAAGGGGAGGGGATTACACGAGAGTGTGCACACCAGGAGGAGAGGTGTCACTGGGGACCATCTTAGAAGTCTGCCTTCCACAGTGCTCATGTCTCTTTAGTCTCTTCTAATCTAGAATGATTTCTTAGATTTTCTCTTTGTTTTTCGTGTCACTGACATTTTAAATATTACAGGCCAGCTGTTTGTAAATGTCCCTAAGTTTGGGTTTGTCTGGTGTTTCCTCATGATTAGATTCAGGTGCTACATTTTTTGGCTCAACATTGCGTCCTTTAAGAACATCGCATCAGGAGGGACATGATGTGGGTGTGCCCCATTATTAATAACCTTCACTTGGATTGCTCGTTAAAATGGAGCTCAGGCTCCCACATTCTTAACCTCTCTGCAATTCTGCCTCTGGCCTGGAAAGTTCTTTCAATTGTTCAAACAGAGTAAAAAAACTGACACCCGTTCTTTTGGCAGAGCAATGTGTGGGAAGAAGTTGAGCCTGGAAACTATTTGGGGATGAAAATTCCCAATGTCCTGGATCAGACCTTTACCTGATACCTCTCATTTGCACCCAAGACACCCTCACTGGAGGCCCAAATATTGGCTTCACGCCGGCCCGAAGCTTGGGGAAGGAATACTTTTCACACTTCTGTTTCTTTCATTGCCGGTCCCTTCACTTGGAAGCCCTTGTCCCAGCGCTACCTTCTTTTCTGCCGGCAGAACTCCAGCTCAGCTCCCAAGCCCAGTTCTGGGGTCTTCAGCTCCGGGAATAAGGCTGCAGCATTGCACAATTCCAGGGACCAACAATCACATCATGACCCTTGTGCCTGGCACCCCCTGGAGTTGTGTGAGCCTGTGCTCTTGTTCTGGAGACACACATCCCCTGCCCCGGCCCCCAACCGCCTCACCTCACCTAGCACATTGTATCACTAGTATTTATTTAGACATAGGTCTGTCTTCTCTAAACAGAAGGTGGGACCAAGGCTTGTTTACCTCTGTGGGCACCAGTATCCACTGTGTGCTCAGCAGGTACTGGGTGAACATAGGAATTTCTCAGTGACTACTCACACTCCCCTCTCCACCCCCCACCTCCGCAGCACAGAGTCCCATTCTCTATAATCTGGTGGTGACACAGTTCTAGGTTTCAGCCTTTGTATCCCCTCAGGTGCATCACAAAATTCTGGCAACAAAATTCAAGACTCCATATGTCCAACAGGAAGGCCTCCCGTATAAGGCCAGCAGGTGCAGTTAAATGCTGCTTCTTGACAGGTTTGTGAGGCTGCAACCGAGGCCTTCCCTTCTGAGAAGAGGTGATGGAGTCTGCAGGAACCCACAGTGGGGCGAAATACCTGCTCTGAAAACCAGTTGGAGAGTGGGGAGCGGCGGGGGGGGGGGGGGGGGGTGGCGGTGCAGCCAGGGCTGCAGGAAATACAGAGGGATTCAGGGAGCTTACCTAGGAGGTGAACCAGGCTCTGAATTCTCACCAAATCTCTGGTCCCCTACAGCAGGTCACAGAACTGTTAGTGACAGAACTGAAGCACCCGGTAGGGTTTCTCTGCTAAGAGAGACACCAAGGTCTCACCTTGCAGTCCAGAGTTCTCTGCCCAGGCAGCCCTGTGAGCTTCAGCTGATCTGGACCGCGGTAATGAGCAGGGACCTCTGACTTCCCCCATCTGTGAGGACAGCCCCTGGGAAGGTCTGGGTCACATGCAGTTCTGTTTGGGGTTCTCACCTACAAATGTTGAGAATGAGGAGGCAGGGCAAGTGCAGATGTTGAGGTTTCTGCTTTTTTGGATTTTCCTATTTCTCCTTTACAGGAAATGACTTATTGTGTCAAAACCCTATACTATCCCATTAAATGCCAGGACCACTGTCTTAGAGAGGCCTGAATTAGCTCACGCCGCTAAGCGTTGGCAAGACTCAGAAGAACGCCTTGTCAGCCAGAATCCAGGCCTGTGAGGCGCGGGCATCACCAGGATTCGGGCAAGTAACAGGGAGCCTCGATGTGTGTTCCGGTTCCCGCCCTTTACCACGCTCCTGGTGAAGCTAGCCTTGTACCTCCGGGCCGGCGCTCCCCAGCTGGGCACTGCCCCACGAGCGGGAGGCCACCGGGTCACTCGTCCGGCAGCCGCCCCCGCCCCCTCCAGGTGCCAGCTGCCAGCTGCCCGGGAGGGTCGGAAGATAATGCGAAGCGGCTCCGGCTGGCCCGCACCGACCCTACTTCCTTCTCGTTCTCGAGTCTCACATTGGGGAGCCTGGACTGGCGGCGCGAGAAGGCACAGAAGGGCGAGTGGGCGACCTGTGACCGCCCAGGGAGGGGATGCTGTGGTCTTTGGAAGCCGGAGGACCATCATTTGGACCCCTCCTGCCCAGCCCCGAGGCGGGGGCGGGCAGATCCTCCCCAGGGCAGAGATGGCTAAGAGCCCGGGCAGCCAGAGTCTCCCTGGGGAGTGAGAGGACGGGAGGCTGGTTAAGGCTTGGTGAGGATCTTTACGCTACCTTTCCCCCAACCTACCCACCCAGGAGCCGGGAGCTCCTCCCAGCCTCTCTGGAGAATCCGAGTGGCCCCGAGTCCCCGGGGAAGGGCGGGCCGAGGTGCAGAGCCTTGAACAAAGGCCCACAGAGGGGTCCTGGAGAGCGCGGCTCCCCGGGGGCGGGGAGGGCCCTCTCCCCCTCCCCCTCAGCTCCTCCCTCTCCTCCCCTTCTTCCACGCAGAGGCTGGGCCGGCGCGCAGCCCGAGCTGCGCCAACTTCGCCAACGGTTCCCAAGTTGCTGGGCGCGCCGGGGTGGGAGCCGGGTGGGGTGAGGAAGAAGAGGAGGAGGAGGGCTCCCCAGGCGCCTTGGACGCAGTTCAGGAACCCGCCGCCGCTGCGGGCCGTTCCCCGGCTCGGCCCGAGCGGGGAGGGCGCCAGGCAGGACCGCTCGCTCGCTCGCTCGCCGCGCCGGACGGCGCCCGCCTGGCGCCTCTTCCCTCCCGGCGTGCGAACCGGCCGGGCCGCGCCTCCCTCCTTCGTCCTCTCCCTCGGCCGCCCCCTGGAGGGCGCGGAGCGCGGGCCGCGAGGGAGCCGGAGCCCCGGAGCCGCTTCTGCCGGGTTCTGCCGAGAGGAGGGCAAAGTTGCGAGCGGATGCTGGCGGCGCCGGACTCCAGCCGCGGAGAGTCGGATCCGCCCCCGCCGGAGGAGCCTCGGCGGCCGGGGTGAGTGGGGCGCCAGCGTCCCGGAACCGCCTCCGGGGCCTGGGGGAGGCCGCGCAGCCGTGCGCCCCCCACCTTCCCCGTCCGGACGCGCGCGCCAAACTTTGGAGGAAGAGGGGCCGAAACCGAGGGTGGGAGAGGGAGTTCCCGGCTCGGGGAAAACTCCACAACCCCCAGACTTACTGCACCCAGATTCACAACTGCCGGGTACACGCGGTTCATCACTCGAGCCACAGACACACCGCGCACACGCCACACCGACCAGGCACACGCCGCAGACCGAAATTTACACTCCCGGGAGCGCGGGGTTTGGGAACTTTAGACCAAGGTTGTCCTCCTGCCCTCCAATAAACCCACGGTCTTTGTCTGCTGCCCCCGCAACCCCCCAGTGAGGAGCCCCCAAAGCGCGACGGGCAAGGGAGGGGCTGCCTTGTCTTTGGAAAGTCGTGGCCCGGATCCCGGGCCGAAGAGTGGGGAGGGGAAAGCAGACGTTGCAGTCGGTTCTCAGGGTTCATCAGGAGCGAGTTGGTGTGGAAACTCGGTGTCTGGCTGATGTGTCTGGGTGTGCGCAGCCCTTCCGGAGGCGAGGCCGGGAGAGGGGAGGGAGTGATTTCATAAACTCAGACCGGCGAGCCGGGGTCTGTGAGCAGAGTGGAAAAGGCTGGCAGGCCGCTGCTGTGCTGGACAGCTGGGTGTTGGCAGTGACAGGGCCTGCGAGGGAGGCACAGACCCTACCCCCCAGTCGATGTGCTTCCTCAGAGGGACTTCCAGGGAGACCGGCTGAGGAGATGCAGCCCTGAGTGTGTATGTGTAAGAAACCAGCGCGGTCCTGACGCCTTATTTATTTTCCTTGCACCTGAAGTTGTGTTTGCTTTCGGATGCCCTGGTATCCTGGGGCCAAGGATGTGTCAAGGGTTGTCCTGGACCTAGCACAGTGCCTGGCACATGGCGGGCACTCAACAAATAGTTGTTTGCTGAGTAATAACACCAATAATTAATGTTCGGTAAGGACACACTGTGCGCCAAGCCTGGTGGGCCTCAGCCGGATTGGAATTGGTCTTCCTGCAGAGGAGGGGACCCTGAGTGGCTCCAGGGAGCCCTGCCTGATCGGTTTGGAGAAGTGACCCAAGCAGCATGTTCCCCTGTGCCCTGTGGGCTGGCACCAGTGACTTGAGTCTCATCGTTGGCCTCTGCTCCCCTAAGAGGGGCAGCACGAAAGTCCATTTCTGCATCTAGCTAAGCTGGGCGTGGTGTGGGATGTTTCTTCCTGGCTCCTGTGGTCCTGGCTGGAGATGAGTCTCAGGAACAGTCTAGGGGCTGTGTCCTCCAGCAGGGACTTGGCTCCGTGGTGGCAGCAGGTGGAGGGGCAGTCACAGCCCCGATGCTGAGCATCGGGTGGGTGTCTCAGCGCCAGCTGGCATGAGCTTCCCGAGAAGCAGGAACGTCACATGTTCCCGGACGGGAAGTGCAGGCAGTCTTAGAAATGATTGCCTCCTGGCATGGGATTGAGAGTGTGCAGGGACGTGGGGGCCACCTGCCATGCAATCGCAAAGAAATGTGTCATTCCCCACCCTTGCCCCTTTGTGACTAGGTTCAGTGTGCATTTCAAGCTTCTAAATGGCCTTAATGCTGAAGTTAGCAAAGTACATGGGCAGCACCCAGAACTGTGGCTCCAGGTGGGAGAGGGAGTGATCTGGGCTTGGCCACCCCCAATTTCAGGTAGAATGCTGTAGCCAGTCTCTTCCCAATATCACCTTTCCACCTTAATAATGTCTTCTGTGAGTCAAGAGCTCGTTAAGCCCTTACATCCCTATGAGTTTAGCATTTTATCACCATTTTACAGATTAGGAAACTGAGGTTCAGGAAATTTAAGTGACTTATTTGAGGTCACCCAGCTGGTGAGGGACAAAGCCAGGATCTGAACCTGGACAGTCTGACTCTGGAGCCCGTGCTGTCTCCACCATGCCAGGCTGTCTCTAAGGTCCCTACTTGTTCTCCACAGCAGCGGGGAAGCGACACTGCTGCCCTTCTCGCATCGCCCTGGGCCTCTGACTGCAGTCCTCTTTTTCCACACACTCCGCTCAGGCTAAGCATGGGCCACAGGAGTCAATGCCTGGGGCACCAGGCTGCCAGAGCTTCCCTGCCCATCTGGAGTCAGGGAACAGTGGTGGATTGGGAGTGACTGGAGGGAGATGTTGCAGTGATTCCAGGAGAGAGGACTCTCTGCTCGTCTGAGAAGTGGAGACAAAGCTACCGCTTGTGAACCCAGATTCACAAGTTTGGGTTTGGGAGAAATTGCCAGATAAACATCCTCAAATGGATCCCTGTATTCCACCCGGCTCACCTGGTCCCTAGCTTACGCATTCTCACACATGCCCCATAGAGGGACAGTGGTTATCATCCCCAGTTTACGGATGAGGAAATGAGGCTCAGAGAGGTGCAGTGGATGCGCGAGGTCAGGAAGCCAAGGAACTGCCAGCCATGCTGCCTTCAGGACACCCCTGCAGGCACTTTGGGGCAGGCGAGTGTTCAGTCTGGTTGGTATTCTGTGCTCCCCCAAGGGCTGAGAGGTGTTACCCCTGTTGGGGTAGGGTCTTCACTGCTCTGCCCACCCCCCTCTCTGCCCTAAGAGCCTCTGACATAGGTGTCCATAGTATAGGAAAAGCTGGCAACCTTAAAAGGAAGCAAGGAGCAGAGGATGAGCACTGCCGGGCCAGCGCCTGTTCACCTCCCACAGGAGGCCCACCTTGGTGGGTTCTGAGAGCCTTCACAGTGCTGAGCTGCAAAGATATTGCAGCCCTCTCCCCCATACTGTGGAGTGGACTTGCTGTCCAGGATGGAAGTTGGGAGACTGGGTGTGGGGAGAAGCTGCCTATCCCTGCCCGAGAGACGGGGACGGTTTGTCCTTTCCCCCTGGCTCTGTCCCAGTGTCTGACACGTGTGGGTACTTGGGGACGTTGTCAGATGATGGGTGAAGTCCAGGGAGGGGCTGTGAGTGCCTCTGCTGAGAAGTGGTAACACAGGGGAGCCAAGGGAATCTTAGCCGGGAGGAGCCACCCAGAGAGGTCTCTGCCCTTAGTGGAGTCACGCAGGAGGAAAGGAAAACAGCTCTCATTTTCATTCGTTAAACAGAAATGCTTGTCACCTTTTCTTCTCTGATGCCTGAACAGGTGACAGAATGCTGCTCATCCTGCCCTGAGCGCATGCATTCCACAGCTGGGCGTTGGGCTGCTTGGCAGGCTGGACAGTTTGTGCTGTGCTTGAAGGCAGACACATGCAGCCTTGGTCTCCACTGCCCCGAATCTGGCGGGCAGCTCCTGCACTCCCCTGCCCACTCCCCGCGACTCCCCTGCCAGCATGGAGGGAGGGGGCAGGCCATGAGAGCCCCTGACCACCAGTGCCTTCATGTCCCTGCTTCTATGCTGCTCCCCTCCACAGCCCCCACCCCACAGATGGCTGTGTGCTGAGGGGCTGTGAGTTTCTCGGGGCCCTGGGAAATTGATCATTGGGGTTCCGGAGGACTCTCTGAAAAGGACTAGGAGGAAAAGTGTGGAAAATAAATAAGCCAGCTCCCAGCTCAGCCTCTCCTGAATGCCGCAAGTAAACAGCCCTCTCGGAGGCCGGTCTGGGAAGCTCAGTTTGGCCTCCCGTGGTTACACCTGGCTCACTGGCTGCCTTCACTAGCTCCCTCCTTCCTGCCCTCTCTGTCCAGCCCTCCTCCTTGACTTTGGAACCTCAAAACTCAGGGAACACAGCCACTGCTGGCCTGTTCTTGTGCTGTGGGACAGACGCTGGCAGATGGGGACAGGAGGAGCATGTGGGAGAAAAGACTGCCCGCAAGGGACAGCAGCTCAGGCCCATTCCCGCTGCGTCTGAGTAAGTCTCCCAGCCTCGGCCCTGCTCAGCGAGGCAGAGGGTGGCCTCTCATTGGTGAATTTGACTTTGATAACGGAGAATGGTGGGGCTTTTCCCAGTTTTGTGGCATCTGAGGAAGCTTTGTGTCTTAAAGATCGGTTTTGGGGCCGGCCCAGTGGCGCAGTGGTTGAGTTTGCACGTTCTGCTTGTCGGTGGCCTGGGGTTCGCCGGTTCAGATCTCGGGTCCGCTTGGCACTGCTTGGCAAGCCATGCTGTGGTAGGTGTCCCACATATAAAGTAGAGGAAGATGGGCCTGGATGTTAGCTCAGGGCCAGTCTTCCTCAGCAAAAAGAGGAGGATTGGCAGCAGTTAGCTCATGACTAATCTTCCTCAAAAAAAAAAAGATCGGCTTAGAGTGGATGGCCCAAGGCTAATTTTCCCCTGTTGTGTCCCCCTGAGGGACTCACATGTGAAGAAACCCTCAAAAAGCATGCAGTTATGTGGTAGGGCTTCCCGCACTAACGAGAACGGCCGGTTCTTTGCTTCTGACCCGAGTCACACCAGCTTAGGGTGCTGGTGGCGTAAGTTCTCACTGACCAGTGGTCTCCGGAAGCTCCAGCACTGCTGTAAGTTACTGTGTCTGTGGGGTAGGAAGCAGATTCGTGATAACTTAATAACTTCAATTTATTCCGTTGACCCCCTCTAAAACCCAACCCCCAGTGAGGAGGGAAGAACCAGGGCCCTAGGGTGGAGGCAGTTCCTTAGCGGGGTTGGCAGCCGAGGGCCCCATCTCAGACCCGGGGAGTGGCTGAGGGGGCTTCCCGTTGTATGTGGCTGTGCTGTGCCGAGCTGGGCCGGCAGACCCCGCCTCTGGGATCTGGGGGCAGGCACTGCCAGAAGGCTCTGGGTCCTGTCTCCAGGTGAGGAGCCCCTTTGTCCTGTGCTGCCAGACTGCTGGGGGGGAACTTGGAGGGGTGCGCCCCCCAGCTTGCAGCCTTGGTGGGAGAGAGACTACACACCGACATACTTACAGACCGTCACACACATTGTCCTGGGCCAAAATACACACGCTCATGCCCCCTCAAATACTTCAGTAAACAGCCGGACACATTACACACCAAAACAATGTTTGTAGGCACAAGTGCATGCACACATAGACAGATACACAAACACTGGAACACAGTCATTACAAAAGGCAAACTACGTAATGGCTAAGAGACATATGCTAAAGCCAGAATGCCCGCGGTACTGCTTCGTAGCTATGTGGCTTTGGGCATGTTACTTAACCTCTCTGGGCCTTAGTTTTCTAATCGGTAAGAGGGATGGTAATAGATCAGAGGTAATTGGGCTATAAATGAATTAACATGTGTGAGGAGTTTAGAAACGTGCCCATAGGTAGTGGGAGCTAGGTATGTGTTATAAATGTCATCTACCACATACTCTCTACCCCAGATATTCAGATCCAGGTGCACAAGACTTCTCAGAGAGGTACCCACAAATTTGTCAGCGAATGGGATCCATCACTTTGTCCTTTCTGAGCCCTAGTTCTCAGGATGTGTGGCATTTGCTGTACTAGACTCGAATTAGAATTTACTAGAAAGGGCGTTTCATCTCCCCTCAGGAAGCTCATTATTTTAGAACAACGTGGGCACTAACTCCCCCAAAGAAGGAGGTAGTTCCTTTAGTACCAGGGGTTTTTGCAGGAGGTTCCATGGAGCCCCAGAGTTCGGCGGGCCTGATGGGAGGGGGCCTCCAGGCCTCTCCCCCATTTGTCTGTTCCACACATCAGGCTTCTGAGGAGTGTTCTGGCTCCTGCGAAGGCTCCCCAGCTCGGACGTGTGGAAGCCCCCTGTCCAGGGCGACCCGCGTTCTGCTCTGTGTGCGCGCCCTGTCCACCCCCCCCACCCCCTCCCCGCCACGGCACCCTGAGATTCGGCCGGGCCTCTCCCGCACTCTTCCCCGCTTCCCTCTTCCCCCTTCCTCTCCAGCTGCGTCACCATCTGCGGGATTCTGGAAAGTGCTAACTGTCTGAGCCAAGGCAGGGCTATCTGAGGAAATATTTTGACAACAAAGCGGGCCGCCCCCACCGAGGCTGCTCCGATTCCGGCAGGGATCTCGCGGCCGGGTTAGGACCGACCCTGGGGCCCAGGTGGAGGCCTAGAGGCCGAGGCAGGAAGGGAGGTCGTGCTGGGGGAATGGGGGGACAAAGAACCCAAACACTCCTGACCACAAAGCTCAGGCACCAGTCTTTTCTTCTGAAAGACGCTGGTTTTCTTTCGTTTTTCCTCCTCGGGCGTTGGCGGGAGCCCAGGCCTTGGCGCAGTGCTGGCCCTGCCCGGCCGGCACCCTCGTGGGAAGCCTGGGGCTGGAACAGCGTCCTCGGCCCTGAACAGTCACTGGCCAGTCGGCGAGCAGAAGCAACAGGCGGAGCACGGCCGCATCTCAGAGCTATGAGGGCGAGGCCCGCCGAGCCCGCAGCCTGCCTCAAGTCAGCGCTCCTGGCCCCGCGTGACACCTGCCTGTGTGTCTGTCCTGCTGTGGCTGCAGCCCGAGAGGAGGGCGGCACACAGGCACAGTCACTTCATAACCTTGACCGGTGTGTGCCACTGGGTTCTGGCGGCGAAGCTCTGGGGAGGCTGGCTTCCGGGGTAGCCCCAGCCCCTGCGCCCACTGCAAGTGGCAGGCTGACCTGCGCAGGGCACCCCTGGTGGTGCCGCAGCCTCTTTCGCAGGACTGGCCGACTGCTGACTGCTGCCCTCCCTTGGCAACGCCCGGACCTCAGGGAGTGTGTAGACAGCCGTGGGAGGGGTTTGAATTAGCAAGGAGAACTCTTAGCAAGGAGGAACTGGCAGATCCAGCCTCTGTCTCCCCGATGGTTGTTTCAACAAGACTGAAACCCCACCCTGGAGCAAGCGCCGAGCTGCTGGGGCTGCTGACCGGCTTCCCGGGGCCTGTGATCTTCCATGAATGTTCCCGCTGCCTCTTCTTTTATCAGCCCTCACCTGGTGCTTGAGGTTCCAAGTTCCAAACTGCCCTCCTTTCCCAGACGCATGTGTCCTGCTCTCTGTCGCCTTTCCGGCTGCCCAGAGCACTGTGTCCTTCCTTCTTCTCTTGTGGCCAGCTCCCATTCATCCTCAACCTCAGCTTGGATGTCACCTTCTGGAAGTCCAGTCAGTGGCCCTCCCTATGGCTACCTGCACGTTCCCATCCCCACACTTACCCTGCTTAGCCACTGCTGGTTTCATGGCCTGTGGTCTCCACTGGGTAGTGACTCTGCAAGGCAGGACAGCATCTGCCTTGTTCACCTCTGCATCCCCAGTGCTTAGCACAGCCCCAGGCACGCAATGAGTGCCCACACCTGATTGTGGAACCATGAGTGACAGATGTGACACAGGGCCCCGGGAGGAAGGAGGCATGGATCTGCCCCTCCAGGAGCTGCTGGCTGGGGAGATGCAACCGTGCCCACCCTCCCAGCTAGGATGTCCTGTTAGGGAGTGATCTGTGTCTGGGCAGAGGTAGGGGGAGTCATGGTGAGTGGGAGGGGGCAGCCGATGTGGACCAGAGGCCTTGTGTGGGCCAGGGAGGGAGTGGGAGAGTGGGACCTCTTGCCATCAGTACCCTGCGGGTGCTGGGCTGGGATCCTGAGGATGGGCCTGAAACCCTCTGAGAGGTCACCTTGAATTAGGTGGCTGGTGGATGGCTGCACGTGGGCCCCACAGCTCAACCTCACCAGCAAGTGGTTCTCAGTCCTTTCCCCTTGGTGGATGGACATCCGTTCAGCCTCTACAGGGCTCAGCCCCAGCCCCCAGGCAGTGGAGACCCCCAGTGGCTGAGTCCCTTCCCCTGAGCAGAGAGAAGGAAGCCCATCTGGCAGGCGGCCTTCCTGGGGGCAGTTCAGCTGCAGCCCTCAAGCTTTCCACGCAGAAGCTGTGGGGCCCTGAGAGCTGAATTCTCCTCCACACCACCCGGGGAGCGCATCTGAGGGAGCTCCGGCCAGGGCAGCACTGTCATGCTGCTCATGCTGATGCAGCGCGAGGTGGGCTGGGGACAGCAGAAGATGCCTCCAGGCTGGAAAACGAGAGGAGACTTGGTCACAATTAACCACCTTCAGGTCCAACTAGATGAGCCCACAAAGGTGGCTTCATGGAGGAGGTGGGCATTTCAGTGCAAGAAGGGAACCTGGGCAGATGCCCAGGGATGGGAGAGTTCAGATTGAATGCAGAGGATGGTGAGGAGTCCAGCTGGACTGAACTGTAATTTGTAGGATGTAAGAAGAGAGAGAAAGATATGAGGCAGGATGGAGTCCTGGTTGCATATGCAGGCTCCAGAGTCAGGCTGCCTGTGTGGGAAACCCAGCTCCCCACTTACTGGCTGTGTGATCGTGGCCAAGTTGCTTAACCTCTCTGTGCCTCAGTTTTCTCATCTGTAAAATGGAGATACTAATAGTACCCCCCCCACTTGGGGGTGATATGAGAATAAAATGTGTCTCTGTACAAGTGCCTGGCACACAGTGATCATCAGGAAGAGTGAGCTATTATCCTTTTTTAAAAAAAATTCTGCTAGAAAAGTAAATTGAGGTCAGACAGACCATAGAGGCCCTTGAATGTCATACTTTCCATTGGCTACGCACCTGCTCTGTGCCAAGTACTTTACAGACATTCTCACAAAGCCCCGTACAACTCAGCAATGTTGTTAATGATGTCTGCATTTTACAGGTGAGGAAACTGAGGCTCAGAGAGGCAGAGTAACCCGTCCAAGGTCACTCAGCCAGGAGGAGTCAGAGGCAGTCGTGAAACCCAGTTATGTCTGGCACTTAGGTCTCCCCTCAACGTGGAGAGTGGAGAGAGAGGGCGGAGGCAGCATGGGGCGGTGCCCTGGGCTGGGGTTGCCGCCAGGAGCAGAGCGTAGATGCTGTAGCCGTGGGCCCCTGGGCAGGGAGGCCAGGACAGGTGCAGGCAAGCCGGAGGCGAGGGGATGAGGAGGCCGTGAGGCACAGCACACAGCTCGCGGTTCACCGCCCA